TCGCTTGGAAAATATTACAGAAATAGACACTGACATGGCGTTTTTAGACCACACCGACCACTACCAAGGCCGTTAACGTTTGTGAGTTTATCTGTCGCGTATCAGGTGGATGCGCATTAACTAAACCGCCGTTTGGTTAGATTTCCTCTAATTTTTTTTTAAACATTTTTCCACTACATTGTCCGCGGTCGTTAAACGCTTGCCCCGTTGGCCCGAGTTCGTGATTTCCCTTTCGCGGGGTCTGCGCAAACTCCTTCGCCCAATGGCACTTGACCTAGTTCAAGAAATCCGAGAAGATTTCGACCCTAACCCAGTTTCCAACAGCAAACGCATCGTCCCACACACTCAATGTGTGCGTATTGTAATATCATCGACATTGTATACTAATTACTATTACTAGCCCTGTAAATGTCTTATTCAAACTTATTTTAGTTTGTAGAGATGTAACTAAATAAATAAAAACAAATATGTGCTGAAAAAGTTATTGGGATGTCATGACTGAATGACAAAAGTTATAAAATTAAAAAATGTCGAATAATTTTTACCCCTTTTCCCGTTTCAGTATTGCTTTTAAACACATTTTGTTTGTACATGGTACTGTGGTCTATTTATTCATTTCATTTCATTCAAGACTTACATACAAATAGTATCTTCAATCTTTTTTTGTAATTCTGGATTTTCTGGAGTCCCACTAGCCTTCTCATCCGGCACAAACCTATCTTTATTGCCGTTCTTATCATGATTTTTTCTCTTATCAGACTGTTCTCACTTACCATTCACCATCGTTATCATATCACTTATTATTAGCTATTTCCTCATATTTTACCATAAATAATCATCATTAATTAGAAGACGCTACCCATCCGTGATTTATCCGCGAAAAAGGTTTTGCAAGGGACAAGAATGTGAAGGCGGTATTTACAGTAACCGTATACAATTTTTAAAATGGATAGAAAAGAACTTTTTCTATTGGGTACTGTTTTTAGTTTAATCAAAATTATTCATTCGTTAAGTTTTATTTTTCATTCGTTTTTAAAAAAATATCGAATATATATATATCAAAAAACTAAAAACGCTACCCCATAGATGAAGTTCTTCTGTATACATTGTAAACATTTGATAAATCTACTGTTGATACTGGCCTCACATACGTCTTGTCCCACGCAGAGCAGTTTTGATGGAATACAAAATAGTAATTTATTACATAACAATCACTGTGATAGTATGACGAAAAAAAAATGGCAATCATTAAATTATCCTCATTGCTGTATTAATGAGTATACACTATAGTTCAAGCTCTAAATTAAGATTTTTGTAAAAAATTGCCTATACTTTACTCCTTAGAAATGGCCTGAGTTCTTTTAACCGAATGTTATATAATATGCCGTTTATTTGTATACATATATTATCATATATATTCATTATGCCAGACAGAAAATAAACATGATACAATTCAGTCAAAATAATTCTACATTTTTTTAGAACTAATGGCCTAACTGTGTGTGGTTCGAACAATGTTTAACTGAATCGCTATAATTATTATTATTATATAATTACCCACAAAACTATAAAATAGTATTTCTGGAATTTTGACCTGCGACCTTAAACAAAACTATACCTAAACACATTAACATCCATCTCTGCCCGATGTTTAATATGTTGGTTCTATTAAACACACAAAACGACGCATTACTTTTTTTTTTTTGTTACTTAAACTACTATTATAATAATTATAAAACAAGGGTTTTTTTACAACTTTACACGGTTATAATATATAACACACGCTTTATTAATTATTAAAAAAATAATAATAATAAATAAACGTTCACTGTTCAATCTGTTTAATGTAGGTATCATATATTAGGAGTTTAATTGGTCAAAAGTGGTATAATATTTTCACTTGTTATAGCAGTGTGATAAGTAACTATTCTATCGCAAATTAATAAAATATAGCAGCTAATGCGTTTATGTGTAATGTAGTGCGAACTGCGAATTGCAAGTACATACTATATAGTAATCGATTTAAATAATAACATGTAAACTCTTATTTTGTTTGTTATCTCATTAAAATAAAACCTATTAACGTTTATGTTATTATATAATTTAGATGTCTTGCGAAACCAACGTTAGAACGAATTTTTTAATAATTATTATGCGTGAAATGTAGAAAAATAATTTTCCAGATAACGATATCTATTGTTTATCAGAGTTGTAATTTTAATAAGTATATTACATTTAAATGTAAAAAAGCATAATCGCTCAATATGCGGTTTTATTGTGTTAAGTATTACATATGTATCACATTTCTATAACGCAACATTGCAAAATCATTTGACTTATGAACTGAAAATTATGATGATCTATTTTTTCGCTACGATGCGAACTCAATGAAAAGCTTTGTTTGTACTTAAAAATTTACTTATTATTATTTTTTGAAAAACTTGCTTACAATAAAATGTCGGCTAATATCAGCCAATTTTTAGGTATAAATCGAACATAGTTAAAGGAAATCTATCTATGGTAAAATTTACAACGAAATCAAGAAAAAGTTTCCACCCCTTCTGGGGAAAAAGAGTTATTTTCAAAAGATATTTTTTAGTTTTGACTTTAGTGCTTTAATTCTGTGAGACTATTTTTCAAAAAGTTATAGAGAGCAGTATTTTTAATAGAAAATATTAATAGCAATTTTAGAATTTCCTCATCAGTTTTGAAGGAAAAGGGGTGAACTTTTCCAATTTTGGCCTTTTAAGTAACTTTTGTGAACGATTTCTAATCCCTTTCTTTGCAAAGAAAATGGTTAAGTTTTCATTAAGTTATCACAGGTCAGACACAAAAATAAAAACATATCATTCTCAAGTTTTTAACACCAAAAATAAGTTAAATGTGACCTGTAAATCTTCGGTTTACTGTACTACTATAACTGCTATTACTTCTTTTGTTTATAAATATAATTGATGTTTTAATACACAATAGTTAAATAGTTGAATTAATGATTAACAACTATTTATTCAGAAAAAAGAAACTAAACTCGTTTGAAATTTAAAATGTTCATTGCCACCATCGATTATTATTATTATTCAGCAATAGTGTAAAGTAACAGCTTAAAAGGTGTGAATGAATTAAACAAATATATTATATTAACTTTATTGGAGAAAATATTATAAGACATTTAATATTTTGGTGTAAAATAGTATGTTGATGACCTCTCGTTTTAAACTTGATAACTCCCTCGACTGGAATAATAAGTAGTCCAAATCTACTCTCTACTCTACTATTCCTCAATAAATAAACAAAAACAAGTAATAAATATCAATGATCTCATTGATATTTTTTTAAATATTGCCAAACTCACAAGACGCGTAGTTGATGATATCAATTTCTCACAACAACAGAGATTTATTATTACTTTTTTATTCGCGAGTATTTAACAAATAAAAAAACACAAAAAAACTGTTGTTTTGTTTAAACTTGCACGCATAACGTAAAAAAAATACTAACAGTAAACGTTATGCGTCAATACAATTAGATGTTGACCGTTTTAAGGTAAGGCCTAAATGCTGAAGCACAGATAATGATCATCTTTGATAATACATATTATGTGTATGAAAATTATAGATTCCGCAATGAAGGATTATAACTTATAAGTAATCCTTATGTACCTACCTAATTATGTTATATTAAAACAAATTTAAACACATATTTTTATCCATGAACAATTAATTTGTATTTTTTGTAAATATTTTGTTGAGGTACGGTGGATAATATAATAAGTTTAATCTAATCGTAATTTGTTTGTACTTCAACAATAATAATACATTTTTAATTATTTAATTTTAAAATCTCAGAGAAGAAAAAAAACGTTATTTTAATATTTGTAATAGATATTAAAAATTAAAATTTGATTATTCCTGTTAAAACGTACAATGTTAATATATCTTGACAATATATTATTATAAAACAAGAAATACATTTTCAAAAGTTTTTGTAGGGGGATTGCTTTTCTAAAAAACACTATTTTTTAAATGTTTGTCGTTATATTTATAAATTTTTTAAAAACATATTTTGTTTACTAAATGAAAAAGTACAATGTTTTTCTACTAATGTATACGTAAGATAATATAATATAATATACGTATATTACAATACTTGTTTAGTCTTAAATCTTAATGTGAATCCGAGATCATACTGGGTTTTAAATATAAAAGTTTAAGTTTTGTTTTTGTCTGTATGCACAGGCCTCAATATACTTTTTGACCTTATTATCGTTAAAAGATCATATTATGTGGAAGGTACTTGAATTGGTAATAAATAAAATTTAGGCGTTTCCCAGTAAACACGATATTTAACGCGATTCAGAGGGTCCTTGAAATTATCTGGTTTCAAAGTTAAATAATAACAATATTAATACAACGTATTCATAATTTCTACTTAAATTTACAATAATAAATTAATAAAAATCAACACAGCAACTAATTATTCAATAAATAAAAAATATATTTTAAAAAACTACATAGTAAATATTTTCTAACATCCATTCAGATTACCATCGAAACGACTTAAAGTGATGTTTATCACTTTCAAAATTATTATTAGTTGCCAGAATTTAAAAAATATGACGTACAGATCACCTTTACACCGTGTCAGATTTTACTGTAGCTAGTTACTTGATTTTTATTCTTATTCTGTTTTAACGATTGTATTTTCCTATTAAACAGCTTCATTCTTTCCTTGTTGTGACATAACGATGGTTTAAATATAAGATACATAATAATTATTTGTTAAATAGTATAATAATATTTATTATAACATAATAATATGAACGTATTGAAATTGCATTTATTGCAGTAAATTAATTGTATTTAAAGTTCTTTACATGATAATTGTATAAATGTTGATTTATTTAAACGACTTGTCTGTAGTGTCACTTACAATTATTTATAGGTATGTTTTTTTAAGTGAAAAATTAATATAAGGGGTTGAGTAGGATTGGTTTTCTTAACTACTACACAGCATTTTGCTTATATTATACACTCAAAAAATCGTATACGTTGAGTACATTTATAAGGAAAAAAAGTCCTAAGAAAGTAGCACTTTTATGAGCGAATTTTTAGGTCTTCAAGTCTGAAAATTAGTTTGCGAGTAAATTTAATGTGTACATTTTATATTATAATATAATATTTCGATTGTAATTTTAAAATAAATGTCTAAAGCTGGACTTGTTCTGTGGCGCAAATAACTTACCGGTGACCCCTAGAGCTCAAGGTCGTCAAGGAACTTGTGAATGTTATTTTACAATTGACGGATAATGATAAGTTTTAGCCAAGTTCAAGAATAAATTTCCCCTCGGAATTTCAAAACCCAGAGGAAGAATACGTCGTTACATTTTGAAATTGTGTATGAACCTGTACAGCAAATTGTTGTATTTATCATACTGTTGTATGCACACAAATTAGTGGCGCACGGTTTCGTTCGAAGGCCGACTGCCATAATTTCGGTAGACAAACAATAATACAAGATTATTAATTTAATTATTATAGTAATTATACTTCGTTCTGTCAATAATTTCAAAAAAAAATCCGAGAATTCGTTTAGACTTAAAATGCTAGTTGTTCTTTTGTGATCCTTGCTTCGGCGATACCAAAATATTGCTACCAGCCAAGTCTTATATGTGTATATATAAATGATACAACGAACGCGTGTAGAAATTATTCGCACTTTAACCTTGAACCACGACGGTTCTGGCACATACCTTAAAGAGAACTACGTAAAAGGTAGTTATCCTTGATATGAGTTGCCACCCTAAAAAACTGCGTCTTCGAATAACATAATTCGGACCACTTTTTTTTTATTTGCCGCGCACTTTATTTTTTTACATAGGTTTAGCGACAAATATCGTACCATAAAAATAATATATACATTATATGACCAATTATTTTACTATACTAGGTACTACTCTTGTAGCAGCGACGAGGTGACGTTAAAGTTGAATTTACATAATATTTGAATAATACACGTTTACCGACTGAATTTTATCTTAATAAAAATAATTAAGTACATAACTAAGTTTAATTGGAACATAAAACGAAATACGCTGGCCGAACCCTTGTTCTGACTTAACATTAATAATTATTCTACCTCACTTGCAGGTGGCAAGAGCTTTGATCTTTACTGTGAACATTATCTAATATCTAACAAATTTCTAGATTAGAACTGATTAGATAATATAACATACTGAAAAAAATTATAATTAAGAAATTATTAATAATTATTGATGCTCGGAATGTGATAAAGTTTATGCGTACTGTCATTAAAAAAAACAACGGTGTTGAGAAATTAATAGTTTTGTTAACAAAAAGGAATAAGTATCTTTGGTAAATTTGACTATTTCCAGACCAAGTAGACCATCTAGCTGTCATTAATACCTACCACTATTGCTTAAGCCACGTTTGTTTACACAAAAACAAATTATACCTAAAATTTACAGGTATTTAAAACAGCATAATTAAAAATCATTGTATAAAATTATGTAATTGGTTGCAGCTGTAATTTGTAAACTGTTCAGTGGGGCACGTTGGATTTTTTTCGGAGGAGAAGGAAAATGGTAAAATAGTTGTATAATCATAATTATTATATAAGCTGTATTTTTAATATTTATAAGAAAAATTCCATAAGCGGTTGACGTTTGGAATATGATTTTGGTTGTAGGTAGTAGGGAAAGTTACCAAAAGGAGCAGTAAAGTGGCCATGAAAGAGGAGAATCTGTAAAATCGTTAATTAAGTAATTTAACCCACGTGGAATGAATTGTTCTTCAACATATATTTAAGATTTATTTTGTACTGACACCTAGACGCTGTATCCAACAAATTTAACAATTTTTTATTTTTTATTTATACATTTTTTTCTCTTATCATTTTAATTTGTATCAACAACTTTTTAAAAATACTATTATAATTATTATTTGTTTAATATAGTAAAATGTGTACTTATGTAACAATGGTCATAGCTTTTCCGGATTGAACCTAATTACATAAATGGCTGTTTATCACATAGAATTTTAATTAACTCAACTCAGTTGTATAAGCTTATACAATAAAATTAGTTATTCGTATTAATTTTAAAACTAATATAAAACATATTTCTGTACTGTCTATGTACCTATTTGATGTTATAATGCACACTTGCCACCCACATTATTTTTGAAAGGGGGTAGTAGATAGGGTAGCATAGTTTTACCTCAGCAAAAAATATTTTAAACAATCAATTTCTACTTCCTAATGTAGTAAATTCAGGTATTCCATCAAATGCATTCATTTTTTTAATAGTTTAATATGAACTTTGTTAAAATTTTAAAAAGAAAACGTCTACGACAACAGTACAATAAACAATTAGGTAACTTATGTTTCCAACTACAATAATACCTCGAAGTATGAATATATTATATTTTCTATGATTTGTAGAGGTTTAGCGGAAATATGTATTACAAGTAGATAATATAATGTTTGTTTGAAGTTTAACACTGTATACATGCATAATTAGTTATTATATTAAGGAAATATTATCGACACATTTGTGTTAATTAACGTTTGATTTCTCGTTAAAATGATTATGTAAAAAATATGTTGTGACAATTATTGTTTAATAATACATTTCCCATTATAATGATCATAATAAATCTTTATTTCATCCGTTTTAATAATGTCGACAGATACACTAGTACAATACGACGAGTAACTTTTATTCAATCTTGCCTACACATAAAATGTAGATATTTAATTTTTATATTTTTTTTCAAAAAAAAAACAACAGTATATCTACCTTAAGTCTTAACCCACTTCTGTGCCGTGTTCTTATTAATCGTTTCAACTTGAACGTTTATACTATTATATTTTTATGGCTGACTTGTACACAGAATATTACTGTAATAGTGAATTCCATCGCCTTTGACAAAGCATCACATACACACACAGACACACACACACACACACACCATGTAAAAAACTTTAATAGGTATTATTATTGCTGGAGCAACGTTCAGTTATTGTGTAGATGTATAATTTTTATGCAGTTTAAGTTCAACGCAAATCGGTGGTACTGTAATGGTATTAAACACGGTAGCACTCCCTATGTATCCGTGAAAACGCATAAATGAATGGCGTTCAGTAATAGTATTATTATTATTTTATTATTACTATACTCGTTGCACAAAATCGAACAGCACGGTAATTAACATAGATCAAACACCATTAGTCCGCAGAATGTGTGAAACAGATAGAGGTAAGTACACGCGATGCTTGCAATCACGTTAATTAAACACGTGATCACTTAAGCTATTATCGGAGTTTATCGTGGTTCAACAGCAACAGGCTCCCCCTGTAAAGCTCAGGTATATTAAATAATATGTATACAAACTGTACTGTAATTTATGTTTTATCAATGCACATGTTACTCTGGATTCGGTGAGAAATGTTTAAGCGATAAAGAAGCAAAAATAAATATGTCAATACTGTTATAAGGCCCGGAATTTTACGAGTTAAAAATCCTTTAAAAATGTAATAAAAAAATGCTAAAGTTAGTAAAAATAAAATGATTTCCAAAAAGACCCAAAGTAAAAAGTAAATCCTTAAAAATATCCTGAAATAACAAAAAGGTGACTAAAATTTCCTTAAAAAAAAATTATTATTTACATAGAAATATTAACAACTGATAAAAGATTGTATATTGAAGATAATGTGTTTTTTTTTAAATTCTATTTTTTTAATTAATTTTTCTGCGAACAAAAAAAGGGTATAATATTAGTATTAGACGGTGATAAATTATCATTTAAATGTAAATGTAACTCTCATATCATTAAATAATTATATATTAGTTTATACAAATAAATACAATTACTATACAAAAAAAAATGTAATAAAGCGAAATAAAGAATAAACTTCCACGAAGTTAGCTTCCTTCCAATAAAAAAGGTTGAGAATACCGTTCGGCGTACCATAATACACAAAAAGATGTAAAAGGTGTCATTTTCTTACAGGAACATCTTTACAGGAAAATTGAACATTCGACGACCACAACGTTAATTATTATTTTACATTAAAAAAAAAATTAAATTAGCTGTATTCGAATAAAACAAACAAAATATGAATAATATCCAACAGCGCTTACTGCTTTTATTTTATGCTTGTATCCGTTTAAGTATATGACACTTGGTAACGCCTCTTGCACTGTAAATGGTGATATCGCTTTTACATTTTATTATACCATGCATAGTGCATACTTGTCGGTTACTCGGTTTATGTTGTGGTTTCCAACCCTTTTTGACGTTAAATAAATTATTTGTCGCTAAGGGAAAATCTAAAAAATTATCAATTTGTAATCGTTGTAACACTTAAGCGTTTTACAAGTGTATGTATTGGATTTTAAAAATAGTTTTGTTGTCATTTTCGACAAAAGCCGCCGGTAAACTTATACTTGGTTATTATACAATATTAGTAGTACCTAAACCGTAGACAACCCGTTTTTCCTTCTTCAGTTAAAACTCATACATGTACTTATGTACCTATACAATGACCGTGCATATATGTACCAATACATTTAACTTATCCTCGATCACACTTAAGGCGCTTTATATAAACAAACAAAAAACCGAATTTATATGGTGCAAAATTCAACAGCCAAGTCATAAAACAGCTAATCGACAGCCCCATAAAACACGCTTGTGATAATAATTGGTTTTTTTTTTGCATCGCAGTATCAGACTCAAGTATTTGTTTTTTACTACTTACCAAACAAATATCTAAATTTACAATAACAATATTTTACTTGTAATATTTAATCGGCGACCGACGACAAAGAGGATGGTGGTTTTTCGTTGAATTATTATATTAATTTACAACACTTACATAATATATTTATGTAGATATTGTTGAAGCTTAACAATAATAACTGCGGTAGTTTATGGCAATTACTTAATAAGATTGTCTTAAAAGTTAAATAGTACTCTTCAATAATTAGCAATTGTCTACGTTCTATGCTTTTGTTTTGACTTTGGAGTTCAGATAATAATTCAGAAATTCTAACATATAATGGTAACTATTGCTGTTGTATGTACATTTGGTCTGCACCAACCAACAAACCTAAACTTTGACAATACTAAAAAAAAGACATCAAGTCATATCCTGTGCTCTTTATCGATAGTATTACAATCATTATTCATTATACATGATGCGAGAAGTCTTTTTAGACTTTAACAATTGAGAAAACGCAAGAAAATTCCAACAAAACACGAAAAATGTGTGTTTTTTAAGAACCATAGATGTTTTTGAGTTAAATTCATTTTTTTATAAAAATTGTCCCATTTTGTAGATTAGATATTGTGATATTATTTTTTACAGGATATTATATTTGCAGCAAATGTCTATTAAATGCAAGTGTATTTTTATACACCTGACAAAAACTAATATTTATATATTTGTACACATGTTTTTCATTCACACGTGGTTAAACACCGTAATCGAATCCTTTTCGACGCACGAAAAAAAAAATAAAACAATTTTGATTTCGATAATATTGTATAAAATATGGAAAGTTAAAATAAACAATAAAAAGGTTGTGGTAAATTGTTTAAAGCATTTGCATAACTTGCAATCGTTCTTTGTGCTTTAAAATTATTATCACAGAATAATAAACATTTAAATAAACGTTAAATCAGTTAAATTCAACAACTTTTTTTTTTAAATCGCTTGATGTCTTCAAACTTAATTTCTTAGTACATACATGAAAGATTAGTATGTATACACTTTTGTAAATGCCTGTTACTAAGAAAAGACAATTTGCATCAGGTAGTAGTTTGTTGCAGAAATTTTAATTACTCAACAAACGAACACGAACAATAACACCTGTTAGTTATTTACTAATGAATACGTTTTGCCGTAATAATGTAATTTATTATTTAAACAACTTTGGTGTACTTTTTTTCTGTTTTTTACCACCAAATGTAATCCCAAGTAATTAAGTTTTATTGTAAATTTGTTAATAAAATATATAAGTATTTTTTAAATAACATACTAACAGCTAAAACATACAAAATTCTAATAGTGTTTAAAAATTATTTTTAAAATAGTATTATAATGTAGAAAATGTATACATTTACCTAACAAATCTTTAACAGATTTATTAGACAAATATTTATGGTATATTTTATACATAAGTTTTCAGTTGAATATATTTATATTTATTCAAATATCTATTCTAAATAGCAATTTAGAATTGTTTTATTGGAAGGCCCACAGCAGCGTAAATGTTAAGCAGTTTAATATTTAACAGTGTTAAAATTTTCTTAACTTTTTTTTTTTTGGTTTAGTGGAAAATGTTAAAATATATAATACTTCTAAACGAATCTGGGAATTTTAATTAAATTAACTTTTAAATCAACAAAAATTAATAGAAGTTATGTAGTTTTGTAGTTATTAGCATGCAGGAAGAATAGGCATTAAGAAAGTACAAAGTTATACTGACCATATTTTAATGCTGTCAAATGGCTTGGAATGGAAAAGTAATAATAAAACAAGTTCTACAGTCATTTGCTACAGTTGGGTTCCATTGATATTCTGTCAATCGGACTTTGTAATTAAATATACTAAAATATAATATAATACATAATAAATATATATAGCTTTTTGTGTTTTCGACTAATTTACAAGTTTTATTTTTTTTTTTTGTTAATACTATATTTTTATGTTGTTTTTTTTTTAAACAGTATATCAACGCGTTCGGCGTTCACACATCCAGACCGTAGACCAGTGCAGTGCCGTGTGGTCTCAAAGGTCCATTTAATAGCATGCAATAACCATTAACAATTTACAATACATAATATGTTTACCATTGACAAGAGGAGGCGGATAAGCGAAAGGTCACGTGGACACATGTTAGCGTTATCAACCTACCACCGTACGCTCATTGAACGATAATTTTGTAAATACTGCACATGTGTATTAAAAAAAAAATAAATAATAAAATCCATTATAATTAGGTATATCATTACCGAACATGTGTATAGGAATACCTAGTAAAAATACAGTAGGTCCCGAAAGTCGGGTGACGCTCAAAAAATGTGTTTATAGTATTTCAAGCATAACGAAAGTTGACAGTATTTTAGAGACCATGGCATATGCTTTTTTTAATAAATCTAATATTTAACGTTTAAAATCACATTTTTTTAAAATAGCTAGATTAGGTTAGAAAAAAGTTCGAAAAATAAATCGACTACAAAAAAAAGAAGTCTTAACCACTGAACTAATAATTACACATCACAGTCTAACATTTAAATTAATATTTGCAAAAAAAATATTCCTAACTCCTTAATAAATATTTTATAAGGAATAGATCAAATTAGGTTATCGCGTCATCTTGAAGAGTTTGTCAACATCAAAATGTTCTTAACATGAATGATGTAGTAGGTATTTTAATTTAGTTTGAATATTAGGAAAACATCACTTTTCGCTTTATTTTGCATCAGCCATCGAGACCGCCTCAACGCCCCCAGTTTTCTCTAGGCATCCTGAATGCTTCCACGGGGGGGGGGGCGCTAACGCCCACTTTGAGAAAGACTGCTTCAAAACAATGTCTTCGAATTTCGTCAACTTTTATGCCGAGTCTGTGTCGCAGCACATTTGGAGTACCCTGTAACCGTACCATACAAATAATATTAGGTATCTCGGCCGTGTTACTTTTTCTCTCTCTCTCTCTCTCTCGTCGCACCACACCCGCACCAGGCCTGGCTCTTCGCTTCCCCCACCCCCACCCACCCATCTCCTCTAAAATCCACCACCTCTACTTATCCCGGGCCACATCGTCGCAGGTGGGCAACCGATAACTGCGTACCGGCGTGGTCGCGTAATAATATCATTATACGACTGGTGTGTGTGTGTGTGTGTGAGCCATACATAATAATAATAATAATAAATAATGATAATATAGGCACTGCCTATATTATCTGGGCAAAGTGGTAGGGACGGCTCGTTAGCGGTTTTTATATAAGACGCCGCGCCGGCCGGCAAACGGTCTCTGTGTCAAGTCGCCTCGTTCGGTAAACGCACACCACGACGACCTTTGTGCACTTAGCGAAAGGGAATAAAAGCAATAATACTTCAAACTTACACGCAAAAACCACATTTTGTTTTTTTTTTCTTTTCCCGCGCGTACTCTTCGACAGGCAAAACAGACAACATGAGGACCAAGCCGGAAATGATGGGCCAACTCAGGCCGGCGTTCAGCGAACTGAACATTTCCGAAGGGTTCGAATTCGACACCGAAATCGTCACCAACGAGGTAAATTCATATATTTTTGTTTTTGAATATTTTTGTTCCGGAAAAAAAGAAAAATAACCGACCTTGAATTATCGTTTTTTATCGAGAAATTCCATTATAGAAAAAATTACTCCTCCGGTCGGTGAGAAAAATTGTACATTTTTTTTTTACCTTACACCGCCGGTAAACGACCCGGATTGCTAGTATAAAAAAAATTGTATTATTTAGTCTGAAAAAAACGTCAAATAATAATAATAACGCGAGTCGTCGTCGGGCCCCGTGCTTACTATAAACAAATATTTGGTGTAAAATTTAAAACAACAATTTGGACACGGGTAATCCCGGCTAAATATTCTTTTCTTCACTCGGGTTAGCGTTTTGTTTTTTTTTCATTCTTAAATCGTTATTTCACGTACACGTTTCGTTCGAGATTTATTGGCGGCAGAAGATCAACCGATAAGCCCGCAACTATATTGTTATAGTCTGTCTACCTTTTATATGATAAGATATTTTGACGCCTGTCAAAAATACGTTTCAACACATTCGCAACAATAAAATAATAACATTGCGTGCAACATCGGCCACGGCAATGAATCTAATTTGCGTTTTGATTTCGTCCAGTTTATTTAAAAGAGGGTAGTTTAATTAATTATTATTACTGTTGTTGTTGTGACATTGAAGAAATGCACGACTCCAAGGCGCTTCCGCAAGGAGCATTTCGCCGTTTGCTGCTCAAGGCTTCCCCGTGTAATCGACCGATTGCCATTTCGATTTTAGCCCGTAGACCGTAGTAATGGCATAGTAGATTAGATATTGAATAATAATTATTGTTGTTATTTTGTTGCTGTACAACGCACATTATGCTAAACAGCTAAACGACCCGGCGGCGGCGGTGGCCAAGAGGTCATACGAAATCGCCTGATACCGGCGACGACGGTGGAGGCGGTCGTAACGGCCAAACGCGGTTATTGTATTGAAATCGATCGGATAGAGAAATAACACACACACACACACATGCATACACACTGCTTATACTTGACACGGGTCGTAATGACTTTGCAACGACCTTTAACGCGTCACGGAGTCCTCGGGTTTCCGGATCTCCGCGTTTGTATCCCGACCTCGACCCCAGGACTGGCGAAACCAGGTACCTAATTTCCCGTCGAGTTTTTCGGCTCGTCCGACCACATTCGGTCGAATGATTTTCTAAAATTAACTCTGCCCGAAACCGGCAAACGATCCACGGTGTGTAGTACCCACTCGACCGCCCGACGACAGTGAACCACCCCACCATGTAGCTGTCATATCGGCGCGGTACAAAAAAACCTATACAGCCGTTTAAATTGAGAAGACGTGATACCTACCCCCCCCCCCACCCTATTTATTAGCGAGTTGGGTCGAGTTGGGCATAGGTAATTTTTTGCAAAATCTTAATTCAACGGTTATTGGTTTAGAGCAAAAAACGTCTATTATGAAATCGAAAGATAACATTTTAGAGACATTTTGTCGTCATATATAAGATTTCGAAAATAACAGCGTGAAAAGAAGTTATATTTATTTAAAAATGGCATTTTAAATGTTAAATGTCTCCAAAAATCTTGTCATCTTTCGTTTTTGTTAGAGGTATTTTCGCTCTAAAATTAAGGTTGGAAAATGGGTTGTATGACGTCCTCTTAAACAATTAAAAAATGATTTCTGGGTTGAAACCGAGACTGGGTTTTTAACTGTTGACCGCATGTCAACAATATTGATCCAACAACAATTAGTAGTAAAAACAATTTCAAAATTAACAATCGGTTTCGTTAGTTCTCCTATTTTTTTTTATTTTTTTTTTATTAAATGCATTACAATATTGTTTGGTCTCGTTTAACTGCCGCAAAAACCGATCTGGAGTTTCTTATCATTATTGTTTCAATAAAAATATCCTAAAAATCTATTTTATACTGTTGTCACAAACATTTTGTTTTTAAACGTCTACAATGCAATTATTATTGTATTGTATTTAGGAATGCTCGACTGACTTGCGGTCGATAACCGGTTTTTGGATAATCATCATTAAATATGTAATTACTAATTTTCAAGTTTAGGCGGGCAAGAGGTGGTGTAATGTGCATTATCTTTGTCTACACACACACTCTCTTCTCGCCCGCCCCGTATTTCCTGCTTAATATATATATAGGCCAATTAAATACTATATAAGCCGCCATCAGCTGTGACGATTTACAAGTAAATTAAACAGCATTACTTGTAATTAAATAAGTATATAATAACACAATAAATGGGATTCCTAATTCCATTAACTTTTCTTTCCACTCCACTCTACTTCGAGGGTTCCAAATGTTATGTTTGTTTTGTTAAGCGAATTTCGAATATCGTTTTTCATTTTCATTTATCATTTTATTATTATTGTTTCAAAACGGTTTCTTTACTAAATAGGTCACTGTTCGCGTTACTAGTATATTAAGATGTACATAATATTTTTGCATTTATTGCATAGTCAGCGAATAAAAACGTCACGGCTACAAGATTAACGACCTCATCGGCTCGGTAGTCATTTAATTACATTTTTTTTAATCCGCCGCCGATTAAAAAATACTGTTTAGGTATTTCGCAACGTGAAAGTAGTCTTTGCGTTTCGTTAATGATAAGTTATTTTTAGAACAACTATTTTCGCAAGTTTATATTTTTTTTTGGGGGGGGGGGGAGTATCGTTTGCTATATTATTATTGTACGTTCAGAAATAACAATATTATGCCAATCACTTTAAGTACCGTGCAAATAATTGTAATTCTTTTTTATCAGGCTCGGCACGTGTCAATCAACAAACATTAACATTATAAATATCGAACGTGGATAAAGTAAAATTATTATTATATTATAATTTCCAGCGCAATAGTTGGTGAAAACAATTAAAATCATGGCAAAACTGCAACCGATAATTGACGGTTTCGGTATGGCGATTGGTTCTTAAAATAATAATAGGTATAATCAGGTCGTTAAACACAGACCGTATACCACAGAGTAGTTTAAATCAGAGAGGACACTTGAGGTAATAAAAACATTTTCGCCATCTTCTTATTTACCCTAAAATTATAATATCTATACACGACTAATGTACACAAATATACATTGTATTGATTATTAAACGAGAAGATGGCCTTCACGTTTTTTTTAAATAATATACATAGGTATAAAACCTTGTTAAATTTTAAGTATCTGGGCTCAGCTTATACTAACAGACATGCATGTAGTTCCAGCGGGCCCACGTGAGAGCACTGTCCGTCTTGACCAGATGATCTGTGCTCATGCGCATTCGAATTCCCAGTATAGATTCCCAGTATTCGAATTCTCAATATACAATACCTAGGGGCATGCCCAAAACCAACCAAAAGCAATCTGAACACTATGACTAAGTAAACAAGCGTTTCTGTTAGTTTCTCACCTGGATGCTCCGTCTAACAATTATTAGTACAAGGCCTTATGGTCGTACTACCTATGCCCCCCCCTCTTTCTTTCTCCTCTCCACAATATACCG